AATGGGATGTGCTCTTGCACGGCCTCTAGAAGTTGCATGAGAGACCTCAGAAAAAGTATTCTCCAAAGCCGTTTCAAGAACAAAGGCCTCCTGTGACCCAGAGAAGCCTCTAGGTAGGCTTTAGGTGCCTGTCAACACAAAACAGAACACTGTCTGAAAGTAAGCAGCATGTGATAGATCTTGGGAACTGCTGGGCTGTAGGGGTGATCTTGTGTTATTTCCCAAGCCCATGTAGTGGCAATGGTGATAATAGGGTTGAAATTGAGATCCAGGCCAGGCCTATACTTCTGGCCCAGCCTTGGAGCTGCCACCAAGTATCGCTGTTCTGAGTGGCCTAGATAAGGGGAGATAGAAAATTGTTTCTCTTGATGGGAGGTTACAGGCCAGTAGAGTCATGTATTTTCTGAAATTTTGACTTGCTGAGCCCAAAAGGTTTGCCATCACTGCTATAGCAGTTCTGGCACTCAAAGCTACCCCAGTTAAAGAAGGGATATGGAAGAGAATCTTTTACGTGACTAGGAGAAAGATAAGAGAACCTGGAAAATATATAATTGTAGATTCAATATAGGGATGTCCTATATTTTTGGAAACGTTTTTGGAGTCCAAGCTTATACTTTGGCCAGACTTGCAAATGACATGTCACAAAACTGGAATAAAATGGATTCAAACACGGATTTATTTCCTAGGTTATACTCTGGATTTCTCAGGCATGGTAAACAAATGCTTCTCTATTGTTTTTCTATTAAAACTACATTGCTTGATATATTGGATAGGATACTGCTTCATACTTTATCCCATATATGTGAATTTAATGCAACTTAAAATTAGTTTGTAGGTAGAAACAACCTGAAGGAGCAGCCCAAAGAATGCATCATCAAAACATGACTATGATTTTCTTGATTTATCAAACTAAAATACTGAATTGTTTTAAAAGAACATAATTTCGATGCAGACTTTGTAATGATCTGTTTGTATTAGAGATTATTCCCTTTGTTGTCTTTCTGTTGAAAATGTACATACAGCTAGTCTTCAATTTATGATTGCAGTTCAGCCCAAAATTTCCATTGCTAAGCAAGATAGTTAAGTGGGTTTTGCCCCATTTTACGACCTATCTTGTCATAGTTGCTAAGTAAACCACTGCAGTTGTTAAGTTAAATAGTTTTATGAATCTGGCTTTCCATTTATTTTGCTTATCAGAAGGTTGTAAGTGACCCCAAAACACTGCAACCTTCATAAATACACGCCAGTTGCCATGTGTCCGAATTTTGAACATGTGGCCACATGAATGTTGCAACAATCATAAGTGAAAAACAGTCACATCACTTTTTTTCAATGCCTTTGTAACTTCAGTCACTAAACAAATGATTGTAAACTGAGGACTACATATGAAAATAATAATTAAAATATAGTATGACTCATTGCACAACATCATAGTTAAATATTATTTATATTTATACCTTTATTGGTGTATGGTGTTAGTATTTGAAATAAAGGGCATTACTTGCTGTAATTAGAAAAAAAAATAAGAATTTAAAATTCAAATACTGAACAAGTGTAAGCATACTCTTGTATCTCCTGAAAAACACACAATGAACATTGCAAGATATGTGCAAGATAAAAAAGCTGTAGTACCCCAGCTTTTAAATTTGCATTGCTTACAAATTTAAAATGCTAATAATAGTTTCCTTTGTGGCAAGATTTCCTTTTGAATTTGTTTTGGGCAGATGTCTGCAAATAGCTCAGGATTTCTTTTTAAAGAAGCACTCTGCAACTTCCGTTCTTGGATTGAAATGATTTTTGCCTAGATAGCTATGATGGCGCACACAACCCATATGCTGAAGTTAGCTATGTGGCACTTGTTTGATGTAGTAGGTGAGGTGCTAGACTAGAAACCAGAAAACTGAGTTCTAGTTTTAGTCCCACCATAGCACAAAAAGCCAGCTGGATGACTTTGGACCTATAATTCTCTCTCAGCCCAATTCACTTCATAGGGTTGTTGTTATGAGGAAAATAGGAAGTTGGTGTATTAGGTATTTTCACTAACTTATTTGTAAAAAATAATAAAGGTAGGGTGAAAGAAATCTAATAAATATATCTCATTCAATTTATCACCTTCTTGCCACTGCTCCTCTTCATATTTAAAATAACTGTCCCATTACAGACAAACTTTAAAACGATTTTCAAATAGAACACATAATATTCTTCAAAACCAAATAGTCCCCACAGTACTATTATAATTCATGATGGGAATGAGGAGAACAGTTAATCAGTGATGATGTAGACAGGAAAAAAATCTGTATGTATGTAAGCAGGAGCGGTAGCATCTCTTCTCTCAGGCAGGAAAAAAATCTCAATTATATGTTGCAAGATTGATGTCCTACATCTTGGCTTTTGCCTGATGAACAAACTTTCCACTCAAAGAAGTAAGTAGTACAATTAAGTGTGCCAGTATGAATAATGCTGGGTTATTTTGCCATAGTAGCAATATGTCCATTTTATAATAGTTGGGGAAGTCACACAGTGAGATTGGAGTATTTCCACAAATACATTTTACTGAGGAAGGCATAGCAAAATGATAATGACTGCTTGAAACTCCCCCAGTGTGGTAGGTTGCTAAGGCAGAAAACAATAGGAAATAGGTGTGTCTAGATGCATTTTAATACAGTTAATTGGCTTGGTGTGGGATTCTAGTTAATGGTTAATGTTAATTACCTTTAAACAGAGTTGGTCCTGTTTAGTACTTAGATAGTGAAAACCAGGAAAAATCAGAACTGGCAAGTTGAAAAGGTAAAAATTCTGTACTACTGGCATGAAAATTATCATAGCCATAATCATGGAGTCAAGTTGAAGAAGACTTTAATTTGCAGGTTCATTTTGATATGAATGCAACTATCCAGAAATATCAACTCTCATTTTATGCTTTGTTGATTTTCAAAATTTTATCAACTGAAGTTATTATTACCTCTAATAAGATGCAAGAAAAAAGAAAAGGATACAGCCTTGTGAGTACCCTGGAAGTTACCTGAATGACAGGTAAAGCCCTCATTGACAAGATTTTAATGGACAATTTTCAGGCTGGATGTTTTCATGTTAACTAGAACAATATCACCACTTTTAAACAATCTAAAATCTTTCAAAATAAGGAATTCATGTAAGGATTGATTGTATCTGATGCTTCAAATTGTTGAGATTCAAATAAGAATATAATCTGGAATTTTAAACGAAAACCTTAAATAGCATGGAGTGGAATCCCAATAGCATTCAACTTTGTGCAGAAAGATTATCTCCTGGTTAAAGATTATTTATATGCTTATAGAGGGTGGTCATAGGAGTCAACAAAATTACATGATATTTGTGGTAGAATTGCCTTGCATCATTCATTTTCTCTCAGATATGTGGAGATTCCAAATCTCATAATTCACAGTAAGCAAGACTGCTGTGATGAGTTCATGTCAATTTTTTTTAAATCAAAATATGTTAATTAACTTTTAATTTAGTGTTCTAAAATGATATAAGCCTAGATGAAGATGCATCATAAAACAAGCTTACTCCTGCTTGTATATGCATTACAATGGCACATACATGTAAAAAAAGGAATGGAGTTTGAATCATGATGTCACAATGTGTATTTCATCATTTTATGGCCCTTGACCATGAATGAATTTATTTTTAAATATGAAGCAATTTATGTTTAGAATGTAAAAAAGAGACATTATATCTTTCTAATGCAGAAGTTAATATGACTAATATGGAAATAGGTTATGACATCTGAATATACTGTATATTAGAGAAGATAAGCCCACATGTCATAGCAGATTGTCTCCTTCCCCAAAAACTGTTACAATTCTAAAAAAAAAAATCATTTAAAGAGTTTTTAAAGTATCACAAGGCTTATAATTATACTATCATTCAGATACATCAAAGATACTAAAGACCAGACTTTAGACAGCTTTAAATTGCTTTATATAGTGTGAGTCATTGGCAACTATCTAAGGTTATACCAAAAGCCTTTCAGATGCTACCTGATGGTTTAATTTCAAGATCACGGGGACTAACTGCATGTTGTGAACTCTAGATGTTGTGTTTTTTAACTTGAACAATGGTTCTTCTATATGCTTTTATAAAATCACTAGGAAATAAAATCACTATAAAACCACTAGGAAAAGCATGGATTTTGTTTTATTATATAAACCTTTTCCTTGCAAAAATGTGAGTGTCTTCTCTCTGATGAAACCATTCATTTTAATTTGTGTCACTGTTATTACACAAGTTAACTATTGTTTTCATGCTATTTGATTCTGTGAGTAGCAGATGATGCTAAACCATTTTTTCCTTTTGGCACAGAAAGGCTCAATAGTGATGGATTCCTTGAAGCCAGTCACCAAAATCTGGAAACAATTGATTCTTTTTCTATTTCTATTTGATATTCTTAAATTAAAGAGGCATTGCTTTTGAACATTGCCTGAGAACAAAAACAAGTCAAGGGATTGCCTTGCTGTGCCTATCTCCATTGTTTTAAATTCCATGTTGTCTCCCTGTAGTAAGTAATGCTATCTGTAATTTAATAATTGCTGAAAAAAGCATTGTGTATGGGGAGGGAATTTTATTAGCAAAAAATATTAAACAAAAATGAACACAACAGATTCAAATTTAATACAGACATGAAAAATTATACTAATAAATATAATACTTTACTTGTGTTTAAACTTCTTTTGCAGTAATTTTTGGAAAATCTGACTTGTAAACTGAGATAAATCTGTTTTACAGTTTATAGTTCTAGTACATCAACTACTGAATAATTTTTACATATTCTCTGTAATTGGCTTGTTTTAAGAAGAAAGATTTCATGAATTGTGTGTTCTGTAAAGTATAGCTAGTATTCATGATGGTTAACCAGAAAGTCAACATCTGGAGGCCTTCACGTTTTCCAACTGAGGCAGGAAGAAATTAATTCCTTCTCATATTTCATTTTTTTTATTTCTTTTTTGTCTTCTTTGTAGATCAATGAACTGAGCCATGTTCAAATCCCTATTATGCTGATGCCAGATGACTTCAAAGCATATTCAAAGATAAAAGTGGACAACCACCTTTTCAATAAGTAAGTTGGGCCAACTTCTGTTTTGTTTTATATTTTTGAATTGAAATAAATACATTTTTACTTAATTTTGATTCTCTGAAGTTTTTTAAAATATGCTAAGAATATCAGCAGTTCTATTGTGGAGTTGGTTTTTCAATATATTTTTTGTACTTGGATCCCAAAAGAAATTGAAAGGTGGAATTCCACAGGAGTGAAGGAAGTAATGTGCCTGCCCTTCTTGTAGTCCTGGTGTCCTAGAAAGTAATCCCTTCTCCAAAAGGTTGCTTCCAAGCTAACTTTCCACAGAATTTCAGCTCTGGTCTAAGAGAATCTCCATTAGTATGCATCGACTAGTAGTACTTCTCAGTATAATTCTACAGTTTGGACTTAATGTTTACATGACTTTAAAAGAGTCCTATTAATTCATTTTAAATTATTCTAAGAGATAGAGGTAAACTACTTTTAATGTTTGGGAATTCTGTAGTTTGGAAAGTTAGGGCTAATGTAAAAATTGATCGTTATACCTATTGAAGATTTGCTAAGTCAAATTACTTACCTAATACTTAAAACAAAAAAGCTATTGAGGATTTGCTAAGTCAAATACAGGTTACTTCTAGAAGTATTTAGGAAATACAAACTCAGGGATTATGTATTCCATGTGCACACAACCATTAGAATTGGAACTGCATAAGTGGAATATTCTATTGAGAGCAATTCAGTGCCATGTACATTAACGTTGGACTAGTGTTGCAGTAATAAAGGCATAAAGATTGATTAGAGCTGAATCCTGCAAGTTATATCAGAGACTTATATCCACGGAATGGAAGAAAATATTTTTCTGAAGTTAGATGCAGATTCTTCCATTTATGGAGAATTGCTTGCCTAGCAGAGCAGAGATGCATAACAGGACTATGCACACTGTTAATGCACGAAGATAATTCCAAAGAAATGTTTTGGAACATACTACAGTATGAACACTGGACCTTTTTGAAGCAGATACTCATGTAAGCTTAAAAAAAGAGATGGTTGCTTTCATAATTTGATTGTGAATCATTCTGAGTATTCTGTAATCTTGTTCTTGGTGCCCTTAAAGTTTTGAAATTTTGTGCTAATTTATGCCACTGAATATCTAGAATTCATTTTGTCTAAGTATATTGACTCTTCTAAAGAAGAACTCTCCACCTGCATGGCAATTTATTCCAATTAGTCCAGTAATGTCTCCAAATCACCTGAGACTCCCTTGTACTGATCTCTGAGAATAGTTTTAAGTCTATCTTTGCCTACCTGAAAATAGGCATCATATTGGGCAAAATGTGACATTTGGAATTATAGTGCAAAGGTCTTTAGGATACAGCAATTTTGCAAGCTTCTAAATGATAATAATTACAACTGTGTTCCTTGATCTGAAAGATATGAAAGAATTGGCTATATGTTAATCACTATAGTCTTCAACTTACAACCATAATTGGGACTGGGGGGAGGAAGAGTTATCCACCCAGTAACATTTTCTTATAGCCCTTCCCGTTTAACCATATTATTACAGTAGTTTTAAGCAATTTTTAGCGGGGCGTTCTCTTTAATTCAAATTGCACTTTTTGGATGAGATGAATTTGAAGGCCAAGGCACAGATAAAGGACTTATTGTGGACTTGAATGTTATGAGAAAAAGAAATGATATGAGAGCCGAGCTCTCTCCCTTTACAGAAATCAGCCAAACAACCACAGATAGAAGAACATTTTGCAAGAAAAGGATCTTTTAAGTAAACAAATGTTCCTTTTATTTCAAACAAATCTGATGCCTTAGAATGGGATCTTCAAACAGAAATAGAAAAACAACAGCTGTCAGAGCATTCCTTATCTGTTAGGGAAGAACTAAATGGGAATCAGGACTCCTTCATGGACTCTCAGTGTGACAAGTCTTGGGAGAAATAAAACAAGCTTAAAAATAAAAACCAAAATAAGGCTTCCTGAGAAAACTCAGTAGACTTCATGACGAACCAATACCTGTTCACAACTCAAACTGTGATCTTAATATTCAAGCATCTCTCAGCTATTAAATATGGACAGAAGATGCTGAAATATAATGTCGATGCTTATATTCAAAAGCATGAAACTGGACTTTTCATGCCTATCAAGGTTGATACAATTGCTTCATCTAACCTTGTTATCCAAGGCATGTGTGCTGTTAAAGAACAAGCAATTAAATGTAAAATAATCTGACAAAATGTCACAGTACCTAAATGTTTACTCTAATATCATTGTAAAACTTGACAAAATAAAGAGAATGGGCTTCACACACATTGAAGATCCCCAGCTGTAACAGAAGAATATTTCTAGTTCAGACTGTTTATAGCAGACATGACAAATTATTAATTTTGAATAGCTAAAATAGCAGACCTGGAATTCTAGGAGAGCAATAGTAATTTCTCTAGGCCAACTTCTTCATAGCCAAAACAGCAAGATAGATATGTGTGCTGTTGAATAACTCCCAAGTGTCTTAAATTGTAAGTGGATTCTTCTATCTTTCAAACAATCTACCATCTCACTGATGTTATTAAAGATGAAAGCACATTCATATCTTATCCGCAGAGTCTTTTGTGACAAAAAGATTAATCTCTATTCAATTCTATGTCACCTATATCAAACTATCATCTCAAGTCAGTTCCCAGATGCCTCCGAGGCAGGCACACTATCCTCAGATTTGAGAAAGCAAGACCATGGAAGTCAGATTTACTAAATGAACACTCTCCAGATATAAGTGAAGCTGGCCTTTATTAATATTTCAGCTCCTTAGAAAGGGACAAACCAGATAATATACTAAAGAAGTTAGAAAATCTGAGGAAAGCTGTCTATTGGATACCATGGTCACAGCTGAGTCTTTGATAGGCCTTGTTTCTCTAATTGTCTCCCCTCAGTGGAGAATGAAATGTCTGGATATTGTCCACCAATCCATAGCTCCCCAAATCCTTATGAACCAGTAGGGTCTCTTTGGCTGACTCAAGGCTCCATTTTAACTGAGTAAGAGTTCTCAAAGACATGCAATTGGATCTATAAGTAACAAGCAGGGGCTTAGAGGCAGAACTCTTGCCAATTCAATTGTACAGAGCAGAATTCAGCAAGAATTACCAATCCTCCACCCAGTATTGCTGAAGAAGACTCTACAACATAAAATCTATTGCACTTAATAATTTCATTTTTTCAGAGCAAGGTTTCCTGGAATAGTTACAGAATTTACATGAGAAAAGCCAATGTTTAGAGGAAGCTGGTTATTTCCCACTGGTTCTTCAGTTCAACACAACAATCTCAGGTCATTGGCCTGCCAAAATGAAAATCAAGCCATTGGACTGTTCTTGAATGATGATGCAACTTCCTTATTAACTTGGAATATTGCTGGCTGGTTTGCACCATCAAAAGACCAACCCTTTTTTGATTATCTATCACACTTTTGTATCCTTTTTCTTCAAGAAACTTGGGCTATATTAGAAGTGGAACTGGATGGCTACTGTCAACTCTATTTTGGCTACCCCAAGTAATGCAGGAGAGAAACCCAGCTGTATATTCTTAATGCTCTGTGGAAGGGGGTTTCTTAGCAGAATACAATTTTGGGGAGGTAGGGAGGATTGATTGATTATTGAATTGTGTCATGTGATCTTCTAAAAGAATGGTATGAAATATTGTTAACCTTAAATTAGTTTTCAACAAACGAACCAAGCCATGCTTTGGAGATTGGTGTATGAAAAATAAACATTGATTTGATTAGGGGTGCACACAGATGAATAGAGCTTTCATCATTAAATAATGCAATCATCAACTGAGTCCTGCCTAATTTTGCCAACTTTTTTTTACTAATATCATTAAGCAAATGAGTTTCTCCCATTGAGTTTGTTGGAAGCCAGCCGGAAAAGTTGGAATTGGTAACCATGTGTCCCTGAGACACTGCAACCACCCTAAATACATGCCACTTTCCAGGATCTGAATTTTGATTATGTGAGCCCAGGAATGTTGCGACAGTCACAAGTGCAAGGGCTGATTGCAAATTATAACTTTAAATGGCCGATAAATAGTTGCAAGTCAAGGACTACCTCTATATACAATTCCTTACAATGAGTATCAAATCTCTTTTTCAGAGAAAACATGCCAAGCCATTTCAAATTCAAAGAATATTGTCCAATGGTTTTTCGTAATTTGCGAGAGAGGTTTGGAATTGATGATCAGGACTTTCAGGTAAGCTGGTTAGCATGTTAAATAAGTCTTGATATTTGGGAGATGTCTGATTAGGAATTCTTTGCTGGGAAAAAAGGTAGGTGGAATAAAAGGTAAATATCTGCAAATTTCCAGATGTAAACTCATCTGGTAATTGTGAGTTATATAAGTTTATTTAATGGGTGTGTTTTCTAAATTTCCTTTCTGTATTTCATACTCCCTTATGGTTCTAAACAAGTATAATAAGTATGTATAATAAGTCATAGGCAAGTAGTGAATATAACAAGTCATAGATAAGAAGTCAGCTCTACTGTTCAGTGTGTTGTGGTTAAGCATCTGTAATTGCAGGCATTGTGTGCCTCTCAATTGTGGAAGTGGTATGATTAAAATGTAGAATTTCAAGGTAAATTTCAGAGTATTCTCAAATACATTACAAATGAACTTTTGGTATGAAACTAAAATGTGACTATTTAAACTTTTCCTTCCTTCCTTCCTTCCTTCCTTCCTTCCTTCCTTCCTTCCTTC